CCCCACAGCAGAAGTTGTAGATCCATCATGCAATTGAATTTCATTGTTTTTCTTTTCCTCCGTCTGTTCCCAGCTTCCTGATCAGCTTCATGGTGGACGCCCGCGGAGGAGCGATGCGAGGCTGTCGTCACCCGTGTGTGCGCATCATCATCCCGCCCCGCAAGTGCAGCATGCCCACGCGCGTCACGTGCCGGCTGGTCAAGCGGGAGAAACTGACCCGTCCCCCGCCCATGCTGGAGGGAGAGGGGCTGGCTGCGCGCGTGCTGGAGATGGGCCCGGTCGGCACCAAGTTCTTGGGGTCAGTGGAACAACGGCTGTTCAGGCTGTTTTGTATTTCATTTTGTCTTTGGTTGTTAAAGAAGAATTGTTTGTCGTTGTTTGTTTCACGTTAATTAGCGTCCCTATCCTGTAACGCGAAGACCGACTGCATTCCAATATCTTATTAATCTCGGCGGCTGGGCTGAGGTGCTCTTACCGGCTGGATGTTTGGAGCACCTAATACCCCCGGTCTGGAGGTCATTGTTCTGGCTGTTATCGTCAGTAAACCGTGTCCTTCTGGCCACAATGGTTTGATTAATTAATTATTAGTTCTTAGGCCTGTCTCTTATCGTGGTCTGGATCTAACGAGTTGTATGCTGAGAAACTATGCTGTAGAAATCCACTCCGCAGGGTGGATAGCACTCACCAACTCCTACGCTTCCGTTAGTAGCAAAGTCACCGGCAATTTTATCGGGGCCAAAATTGTTGCGAGAAGTAGTATGCATCACATCCTAGACGGTATAGATCACATCTAATTCCGCTTTGATTACCTCTCTAAACATCTATACAATGTTCCTGCAGTCCATGGTTCATCACAGTTGTGGCTTTGAGAGATTTGTCATGGCGAAATTGAAACTCCGACTCGAAAGTATAAATCATGCAATGGATTTTTTATCTTTGTTTTGTTCGAGTTTTTTTTTTCTTTGTTGTAATTGTAATTGAGTTTCGCGTTTCAGTTCTTGGTCTTGGTATAATATTACAAAATATGTACTCGTAACATGTTATTGAATTTTCTATTGCTCTCGTTTTCCTCGTTTTTTGTTTGCGATTGAATTACGCAGGCTGTTTTTTCTCCGTGTTGGAATATTAGTTGGAATGTTAACTATTGCATGCCTCTCTCCCCC